CTTCTTTGGCAACGTGAAAGATTCCATTGCGCATTCCCCACCTCATTCGAATAGCAAGAGATTCAAAGTTCCGCTGACGATCGAACTTGTATAATCATCAGCATTGCAATAGGTGGTAAAAGCTTCCATAACAGATGTTCTTCACTCACTTTAGTTTGGTCATAAACCCAAACGTTATAAGGATCTCCAACAAAGGCTTGCCTATCGAGTCAGCAACTACGCAGCTCACGGACATCTTTCACACTTACTGCACTGCTTCCACTGCTCCTGGAATATCTGCCTCTGTGAGGTCGGTGATAGAGATCCCCATTTTGAGAAGTAGTCAGTAGTGAACAGGAAGGGTACCAGTTAGATCGAAAACTCTGTGGTAGAACAAAGTGCTTTGCATGGAATAGGATTAAGAATGAGTAATACTTGGTTCCCCGGTTTCGCATGAACTTTGCCGGGATCACCTCACACGAGGCTTACTATCAATGAGATTGAAGCAAGGTTGATTTATTACCCCTCGCAATGTTTCTTCCCATGGAAGCTATTTTGTAGCTTATCTCGGATTAAGCTTAGTTGGAAATTCATGGCTTGTTGCAAGTGGGGAGATGCCTGACTCCGCCAATCGCATTTCGTTATTGTTATCTCCCTCGCATACACTTTCCAAACACAGTAAGTCGCAGCGTCGGCACAATCTCCACTAGGACTTGGACAAGGAGGCACGGTACCTTGGTACCTAGTCTTTGACTGCTGCGCTCACTTCCATGCCCTGGCTTGGACATCGTCCAGCGTGATATAGATAGAGAGATTACTCACTTTTCACTTGACTAGACACAGAAAAGCAACAGACATGGCAACCGATAAGACTCAGATTGAAAGCCAAATCAATCCTGGTTCGGACGGCGAGCTGAACTTGTATCTCAGTATGCCCTACAACCTGGAACACGAGCTCACTTACTGACTCCAATTCAGACCCAGCCACAACCCGACTTCTCCAAAATGTGTCAAAGGCAATCCTCCAAGACCCAGGGCTACCTAGGCCAAATCCAACAGTGTCAGCTTGGCAGGTTCCTCCTCATCCATCTCTGGCCTCAATACAGTCACAGGACCTCCCAGAGTTTACTGATTTTGTGGTGATTGGCTCTGGTATTACTGGTTGTAGTGTCACGAAGGCACTCCTCGAACACCCATCTACAGCCAACTCACGTGTAGCGGTACTTGAGGCCCGCACTCTTGTCAGTGGAGCAACAGGACGCAATGGAGGACATCTTGTCACAGCATCTGGGCATACATTCGGCCCTCTAGCTGAACAGCATGGAACTGAAGCGGCAAAGGAGATCACTCGCTTTAGCATCATGAATATTGAGCATTTGATGAGACTTGTCAGGGAGTTCGATCCTGCTTTGCAAGAAGAGTGCCAGATACGAGACGTCCTAAAAGTCATGGCAGTTGGAGACGACGAGACATGGGCTTCTGCCAAGAGCTCCGTTCTAGGTTTCCAGGACAAAGTGCCAGAGTACAGCACTTATCACAGGATAATTGAAAGGGACCAGGTTCCAAAGGTATGTTCCAATCTAAGGCTGTAATGAAGCTATAGCAAGTCTGACATATTACAGAGATGGAATATCAAAAATGCATCTGGAGCCGTTGAGCATGAAGCTGGTGCAGTTTGGCCGTATCGACTACTGACTGGTATCTACGAAAGCTTGTTGGGAAAGTACTTTGATCGGCTGAATATTGAGACAAACACGCCAGTGACTCGCGTTGAGTTCTCCCAGGGACTGTATCCCTACACCATCACTACTCCACGGGGGAGCATCCGAGCGAAAAAGGTCATCCATTGTACGAATGGGCACGCGGCGCACTTGCTGCCCAACTTGACTGGAGGTCTTTATCCATTTCGAGGAACAATGTCAGTTCAGAAGGCGGGACCATTGTTTCCAAAATACAATGGAACTAGATCTTGGAGCTTGTCTCACAAGTCAACCCTGGATGCAGAGACTGGCTTCTTCGACACCGGCCTCTATTATTTGCAGCAAAACCCCCTTACGAGAAGCATCTGGATCGGGAACGAGACGGCTTATATGAAGGATATCTTAACTGCAGATGATACTTATGTCCCTCAAGAGGCAAGGCAGGCACTCTCTACTGTTTTACCGAAATTGTTTCTCGATGGCTGGGGATCGGAGACCGTTTCGGAGATCGAGTCTATCTGGTCAGGCATTCAAGGACATACAGCAGATGGACTTCCTATCGTCGGCAAGATACCCCAGTCTGTGACGGGCACAGTTGGTGACGATGGACAGTGGATAGCTGCAGGATTCAACGGGTATGGAATGGACAAGTGCTGGCTGACGGGAGAGGCGTTGGTAAAAATGATACTGGGCGACGATGTCAGCGGCTGGTTTCCTGGCGTATTCCTCATCACCGAGGAACGTCTCCAGAACAAACTCACAGCTGATCGAACCTTACTCAAGTTTGCAAAGATCGTTCTGCCCGGCGGTGCAAAGGAGGGTAAATTGTAAAATGGTAGATAGTAAAATAGAATAGTTTATATCATCACTATGCAGTGAAGAGAGATGCAGCCAATTAGCAGCATAGCAATAGAATTACTATTATAAAGTCATAAACTCGCCCAAACTGACTTTCAAGCACCAAGCACACTACCCCATCATTGTGCCCAAATTCTTCTCATAAGCGATATCCAACCAGTAAGCATCATCCTGTCCATCATCAATTGCCGACCAAACTTGATTAATGAGCTCTAAAATAATTTGGCTCTTTCGCAAGGGCAAGATGTGTGTATATGCTGACAGCCGAGAACTAACAAATTTCCGAGCACGGGCTACTTCAATGGACAAAATATCAATGCTCAGCAGCCCGGGATCTGTGACAGAGACTTCAGATCCTTGAAGGTCGTGAGAATCCTGCCTGAGTTCACCGGATATGGCAACCATAACAAACGGCTGAGCACTGCGAGTGCTTGACTCAAACGGAATGTCTTCCAGTATACCAAGGATATACAGAGCAAAATGCGTTAGCCACTGCTGTCTTTCCTTTTTTGTTGGCACTTGATGTGCTGGTAAAGGCCGTAAAATGTGATCCTTGTCCCAAGGTGAGTACCGTTCGTTCAAAAGGTCGGGAAAGACGCGATAGAGCTGCAACAACCCTGTACATCGATACGCTTCATCCATAAGCTCCAAATGTCTCAGTGGTGTCTTTGGATCGCCAGGGTTCTTGGTATGGACTGCGCTTGGCACTTGGTGTGCCAAAAATGTGCGTTCCAGCCGTCTACCCTCACGCAATGCAGTTCTGAACACATCAAGATCGCTTTCAGTCATGAATTTCATGGTGGACATGTGTTTCCGGTATTGGAATATGAGTATCCCTGTATCAGTGAGTGCGCGAACCATATCTTGCGAGATGCCAGAGTAGGGATGTGGTTCGACTGGTTTCGTTACATTTGGTGGTCCAATCCGCTCCTCACGACGATACCCTCCTAGCTCGTTCTTATCCGTCAGATAGACCAGAAGCATGGCCCAATAATCCATGGTGTCTCTGAAGAAGGACATTTCCGAGCTGTCACTGTTCTCGGTGGCGATCTCATCTAGTATGCTTTGGCTTGCTCGAAAGTTCTCCGTTGCAAGGTTGTGAGGGCTAAGCCAGCTCGAGGTATGGCCAAGAAGCATGGATGCAAGCAGCATTACCTGCTTCTCCATCTCTTGAGGTCTATCTCTTACAAGTTGAAGTGCTTGTGAACGTTCCTCACGAGCGACTCGTAGCAGGTGCGGGAAGTCTTTTGACAAGCATGCTGCAGCCATGCTCTGGATTGTGTGATAGAGCACCCCAGAAGACTGCCACATCTTCTCGATGATATTGCGCATAACATTGAGTTCGCTGTCCCAAGAACAGTAAAGAGTAATGACCTCGCGAAAAAAGTACTCAGATAGAGTGGTTGGGGTGTTGGACATGCGTCGGTGCGGGTCAAGGCCTGGATTTCGAGCCTGGACGAGAGATTGTTCTTCCCCCGCTGGGTTCAGAGATTGAAAGATTAGATGGCTCGCGGAGTCGTCGAATGACTGCCCCATCACTCCAATTGGTTCTTCGATGTCGAATGTTGACCCTGAGTCCTCAGGAAGAGTCCAGACTGTCAAGTTCCCGCCAGGCGAATCTAGTATGTTATTGTTGTTGATTCGCGGCGAGGATTCGACCCCCAGGATGTCTTGGGATAGATTGTCGATACTGAATATCTCTGCTGGCATGAGGAAGTCCAACTGAGATGCGGGATCGAGCCATCCGTTCATCTGATGAAAGCCTTCGACTGCTGAAATACTGGAAGCGGTGGTACGACTCTTTGCCTTCTTTTGTCGCAAAGAGCTCTCGCCAGTGTTTGGCCTTGTCTGATGCTTTTGTGACCAACGCACATTGAGTGCATATCCTGGACACTCGTAGTTTTGGTCCTCACAACGGGTACACGCTGGCTTCCTCTCATCGCATTTAACCTCTCAGGGCGTAAGTTGGAGGGCGCGCATTTCTTTGGGTGTGCTTACCTTTCTTGATTTGCATCTGAGACAACCATTGCGAGACTTGGAGTGTGGTGTTTTGATTGATTGCTGCATCATCAGTCTGCGTGAGAAATTTGGTAGCTCAATGTAGGATTGAAGGGAGAAGAGATAAGAGTGTGACAAGGGGAGGATGTTGCAAGATGAAGCCAGTAAATTCCCCCGCTTTTTACGATAAGTCAGTTATTAGTGCCTGTACTAGCCAGCTCCAGAACTCGGATCATATGACTTAGCGCCTCTAGGGAAGTGAAACAAATATATAACCAACTTCTGTATTTAAACATTACAGAAATTCATGGCTCTTGGCCAATCAAAGTATCACTGGCACAGGCGTCACCAAAAATGTTCAACATTGCGCGACCGAATCGTTTAATTTGAAATGTCTACAAATATGGGTGCACTACTTATCAGTACCAAAGCATCAATTAAATATCATCTACTCCATACACTCTTTCAGGCATTCCAAATCTCCTTTACTTCATAATTCTTCTTGGCATGGAAGAACCAAAAGAACAAAGACAAAAGAGCAATACCGACCAAGACTGGGGAAGCATAATTCATCTGCATAGCTGTGACGGGCGTGTAGTAAGGGAAACAATAGAACACAAGAGCAACCATTGCCCATGACAGCATGACAATATTGGCAACCAGTCCAAGCTTGGGGTACCAGAATGGGCCATGTTGAAAATTACTGCGTCCTTGCAAAAGGACCAAGATAACAGGGACACTGTAGCTAATGTATTGGAGCAACAGGCCCGTCGAGATCAGAGAGTTGAAGGCAAGATCCGACCCGAGATAGAGGCAGCCGAAGAGAGCAGTTCCGGAGGCAGACCAGATCAACGACCAGATGGGGGTATGAAAAGGAGCAGGCGCAAGCTTGCTGAGATGGCGATGCAACGGAAAGCCACCTTCGCGGCTGATGGTCCAAGCAAGGCGGGACTGCCATGTCTGGATTGACCAAACCGCGCCAGCTGTTGTGATAAGAACAGGAACCCACAAACCGACGGCGGCCGCTTTGCTCTTGGTGATCATGTAAAATAGAGAAAGAGCTGAGTTATCCGCGGCTCCATCTATGGTTGGTACGTTGATGAGAACCGAGGTCACAACCAAGAGCCCCGATCCAAATCCGACAACGATAGTCCACATCAGAGCTTTGGGGATGTCGGTGCTGGGCGATGGCATTTCTTCAGCCAAGTGTGTAGCAACATCGAGGCAGGAAAAACTCCAATTGGCACCATTCATCCCGATGATAAAGGCAATTCCTTTTGGCCAACCTGAAATATTAACCGAGGTTGTGAAATAGTCCTTCGCAGAAGCGTGGCTATCAGACATGGCAAACAGCGTGATGAAGATAACACCAATCGTCATGCAGCTAAAGAGGAGCATGATCTTGGAGATTCGTGGGAGCGCGTGCTCAAAACTGGCGCAAATGACGGTCAAGATGTTCAACAGCTGAAACCCAACAAATCCCATCCAACGCTTGTACACAAAATTGGGATTGAGCAGAGAGATGATGGCGCAAAAGCCTGTAGGTACCGATAGACACGCCGATGCACCTGTAGCAACAGCGGCAAGCCAGCTGACAACAGCGATTGTGTATGACAGAAAGCGGCGATATCGGGGCGGGGATAAACGATTGACCCAGATATACTGTCCACCGGGATGAGGCATGGCCGATGCGAGCTCTGCCAATGTTGTAGCTGTTGCAAGACCAACAACTGCCATGACGAGGAACCCCCAGAAGAAGAGAGGTGTACCACCCATTGGGAGAGTACTTCCAAGGACGAGAAGTAGTCCAACGGCAGTGTTGGTTGTGCCATAGCCAATACCAAGAGCAGATAGTGTCGTGAACGGCTTCAGTGTCTGGACGGTAACACCGCCAGGAGAAATTGATCCGCATTCAACAGCATCTCTGTCTGTCTTGGCTGGCATTTCCGAGATCTCCTTGGTATCTTGTGACTTGAGACTCGGCTGATCTGTGTCGCGGTGCATAATGAACAAAATGATGGTAGTACAGGGGGGCGAAAAAGAATCTGTCTCATGAGGCAAATTGATCCGTGGGGAAAGTCATACGAGTTATATAACCTGAACCGCGTTGTGCAAGATAACGGTTTGGTAGGGGTTTTTGATGACTTATACCAACTCGTCCCCCGCGTTTGACAAGATAGGCGAAGCTGATATCTCAATGCGAGTGCGGAGGCGTTGTCATGTGGTACAGGATAAGCTTAAGCCAGATAAGGAATCGCGCTGTGAGGTGAGCCGCTAGGCCAACCGAGGAAGGATTATGCGAGGACGAATCACGCTCATCACCAGCGCTGATACGGTTTCCGACACTATCATCCTTTCCGAAGTTGACTCCTCAGCCCGTCGGGACCCAGAGATGGATGCGATTGACTATCACCACTGCAGCTTCTCATTACTCGCGCCGCTACAACCACTTTCCTTCACCATATCAGATCTGCCCCAGTCATAAATGCCACCACGCTCAAGGAAAGATCCCTTGTCCCAGACAACCTGACTCATCGCTTTCTCAACGCCGACCTTCAAGATCGATTCGCTCTTTGTCAACATGCCCTCGCCCTTATCCAAAAAGCACATATACTCATCCAGGAGCAAGTAGCTGCTCGCCATGGCATTTGTATCTTCTGGAACATAGCACGGAAGATGTTTATGCCGGCCGCAGAATGTCTTCCATTGCTGGTCGGTCACGAGAAAGGTTCTCGCATCTCGCAGTCGGGTCGCGTCTTCATTCTCCCCAGCAACGAGTAGACACTGGAACACTTTCCATCGAAAAGGTGTGAGTCTCTCAATCTCAGCCGACATGTCCTCATTCCAATTATGGATGTTGACAACAGTGTTCAACTTGAACTTGATGCCATAGTCTCTGCACCATTCGGCAATGCGGAAGAGCCGAATCACATTGCCTCCATCGTCGCCCCGTCCAATTTTCTTGTTCGTCTTGGGATCAAAAGAATCACATGAGATTGCAAGAATGTCCAGCCATTGGCAATTCTCACGCATCCATTTCTCTGTAATCTTGCTGCCGTTGCTCACGATGCTGATGCTTTCGAGGCCAAGTTCCTCCTTGCCAAACTGGAGTAACTCTGTCAGAAGTCGAGGGTAGAGGAACGGTTCGCCACCAGCAATATTGAGCTTTTGCATGCCGGCTTCTCTCAAAAGTCTCAAGCCGCGCTTCGCTTCATCGACCGGGAGGACGTACGATGAGGTGTCTGTATGGAAGCAGAATCCGCAGGTGTAGTTGCATTTCCGTGAAGGAAAGTAGTTGACCGATACAGGGACGTTGGATTCCTTGGTGAAGTCTTTGGACGAATGTGTTGTGGCTACTGCCTTGAACTGCTTTCGGGATGTGATGATCCTGCCAATACCAAAGACACCAATAGCAAGAATGACAAAGCGATACAAGAGCTGTAGATCGCCGACAAGGGAAAGAAGCGCCATTGTTGGAGGATTTGTGACTAATGAGAAACCCTCAAGAGTCGAGCCAGATTGTCCCCTGTCTTTGGTCTATAAGAATATGTTCGACTAGTGAATGGATCCTGTGTACGGAAGTGAGGTTGAGGGTTCAAAAGTGAAGCCTCAGAGCGGGGACGTTTGCACCCCCGGCATGTGACCCATCACTTCAAGTAGATTGGTAATGATTCACTGTCAATTGGGTTGCGTTTGTGTTACTCGAGCTTGTGTCACGATAAGATTAATGCCTCAGCAACAACCCAACACTGCCATCATCAAACCAACTAACAGAAGGATGAAGCTCCACGCCAAATCGGGCGGCAAGAGCCGCAGCTTTGCCATCGTGTTCATCATTGGTACAGTCATTTCTGCCCTCCACTTATCTCATCCGCCACTTCTGACCCGACCCTGCTTTAACTTAGGCGCTCCCGGTGCGGGGAAAGGAACGCTGTCGGCATATCTCGCGCAGAAATACAACCTCGTGCATTACTCGGTTGGTGATGGCCTGCGTGCTTGGATGCGCCTGAATCGCTCCACCGAACTCGCCGCCAAGATTCAGAGCAAACTTGACAACCAAGGCTTCCTGACCTCTGAGGACCTCAACCCCTTCATTTACCGCGAAATTCTCGATGCAATCAATCTCAATGAACCAGAGGTGAAGGGTATCTTGATCGACGGATATCCGCGATGCATTGAACAATTGGACTCCTTTGGGACATGGCCTTTCCAGGACACGATGCCTCTCGCTCCCAGCGACGGTGGCAACATCAGCCTTGATATCAAGCCGGATCTCGTGCTCTCATTTCAGATCACAAACCAAAACGCCAGAGCCAGATATCTGAGCCGTGGCAGAGATACCAACGACAGTGCAGACAAGTTTGAGAAGCGCTTTACTGAGTATGAGCTGGAGACTCTCCCTGTCGAGCAAGAGTATCGAAAGCGTGGTATCTTGATATCTGTGAGTTTCGGACTGCTCTTGACCGAGGAAAATATCCTAATATCTGCAGATTGATGTCAATGGAACGAAAGACGAGAACATCGGGGCTCTGACTGAGTCACTTTTGCAGTGTGAGATCTGGCAAAAGGCTATTGGGGGATAGTAGTAAGAGTCGCGTTAGTCTCTTACTCTGTGCCAAGTTGAGAAACTTGTCTTTGTTGAGGCCATATACAAATTGCCTTCCAAAAGTTGGGACCAACTAGGACTCTTGAGTGTATCGACCTGATATATCTCATTAAGACGCCTTTAGGCTTTACCTGGCCATCAATCAACGTCCATTATCATCCATGCCTAAAGCTCAGCTCCATCACCCTTAGCTCTTTCCTCCCAATAACCATCCATTTATCACCATCCCTCATTTGTTGACCTCTTCCCATTGCATACCGCTTGTAATAGTCTGTATGGCTACAATCTTGCAGCTCACAAGTTCCACCAGTCCAGTCCGCAGGAGGCATTTTCTCATCGTACATGAACACAGTCATCTCTTCTAGCTCGGGAAACATGTGCTTGGCTAACATCCTGATCGTATCACCTGCTCCTTGATGATACGTCCAGCTGGCGCTGACGGCGAATTTCTGCAGACCTTGCCCCTCCGGATCACTGGCTCGCAAGCCTGTTAGCAGTTGTGAGATTCTGCCGTAGTCTAAATCGCCCAGTACAATGACGGTGTCGACGGCGGGGTTAATGTACAACACGCGATCTGGGTCGTTGATGTCATCGCCAGCATGTTCATATGGCGCAACCATTGCAAGGGGTAGCTTGACGCGATAATAGTCCAGTGCGATAGATCTCGCCTCAAGATTTACTGACAATAGGGCGGGATTGTAACATCGACTCTGCCATTTTGGTACACCTCCGTGTTGGAAGTTGTCGGCGTAATGCGATCTGCGGGCATGAAGTTCAACGCAGCGGGGAAGAAAAGAGTAGCGCCAGATTCTTAGACGCAATTCAAAGGGTAAATTGGGGAAACTGCGAAAGGATAAAGGAAGTGTAGTTGATAGAGGCACTGTTTCCATTGTTAATTGCAGTTTACTGCTGGTCATCGTCGGTGTCTTTTAAGAACTGCACTGTTGAGAGGTAGAAAAGAATAAATAAATGACGCAGGTGGAAGAAAGGCGGGGAAGTCATTCATGCATGCAATCTATAGTATTCTTCTGTTAATATTCAGGCCGGTACAATATATGTAGATAAATAGGCCAATATTAAAATTTAAATAAGTCCTACTTATAATAGAGATGTAGACCAAAGAGCACCAGCCAACTTGGTATGTAAGTGGCGCTGGTCGTCTTCCTGCATCTCAGTTTGCTTAAACGTACTCGTATGGCTTATGAGCATCGCGTCCCTGGATTAACCAAACCCGAGATCTTCAATTTAGGTCGAAATAGCCAGTGAAATATCTTCCTAGCTGAAGCCAAGAGCTTCCAAGTATTATTATCGCTTATTGAATACTGAGGGTTTAACTGAGTCGCTTTTACAACGTGACAGTAGGCAAAGCTATCAGGGAATAGCAATAAGAGACATGCCAGCTTCTTTATCGCGATATGTCCATAAGGTTGCAAGCATTCTTGGAAAGCAATAAGCATTGCTACTATCCAGTTGCTTGAGGTATGATCAAAGCATCGTCACATTTAGCCTATAAACCAAGAAGGTAGCCTAGTAGGACCAGTAATGACCACTGGTCATATTTTCAGCGGCTGTTTCTGTTGTGAGGAATTAATAAACCTCTAGCAAGTCGATTAAGATAACCTCTGGTGTCAAAGCTGAATGGCTATGTTGAGAACTATTCATATATTGCATAATATCCTTATAGAGATAAATACACGGTTATTACAGTCTGTTGGTATGAGCTATCAGCTATATAGTCTGTCAACACGGCGCCCAGAACCACGAGTTTGGGAGTAAGGTGTAAAGTCTAAGAGGCTTTGAGTTCCAGACCAAAAAGAGCATAAGCCGACTTGGCATTCACATCGTCAATATCATAGCCATCCCCATAGGTATTATTATCTATAGGCAAGAAAGTACTCACTTCAGAAACACTTAGCAGCAGTTAAATAGGACCAGTAGTGGATAAGCGGTCTGGGAGGTTGTGTTCATTTTTGCCCCACTACTGTTTCAATAGATTGGTTTTAGTTGGTGATCAATCGTTACTTTAACCTCAGCTGGACGCCAATTCAACAAGGATGCTACGATGCTCAGCTTCTTAGTGCTTACTGCAACCCAAGCGCTGACTTGGTTGCTTGGCTTGTCATAGATCAACAAAACCAACCAGTGGAATGTTGGTCTCAAACGTATGCGAAGTAGATCTCTTTCCAGTTTCCACAGTAGCGCCAGTACCATGGTTACCAAATTAATAGTCTCAGCTGAAAAAGCGAGACATTTTAATCTTTTGAGGCCTGCATGGCGCCCTTAGTTACCACTACTGCCAATGATTTAAATGCCATCTCCCCGCTCATTACTTGATCAAAGTTCTAAACTTGTCTGCTTCCCGCCAGCTCAGTTATCTTCATCAATAGGCCAACCATGAGATCCTATTTACTTGCAGTCTCTTTACTCGCTAGCAGCTGTTTGGCTGTGACGCCCGACGCGGTTTATGGAGGTGGCTTTGATCATAATAAGAATGACACTATTAAGCTGCTTATTGCCAACGGAGGTGCTGGCCAGAGCGGGTTGATCAAGGGTAAGCTCTCTCCCCCAATAATTTCGACCATGCTAAAGCGAATGGCCAGAGCTTGCGAATGCATATATCAAAAAGCGCGTTGCCGACGGAGAGAAGCCATTCCAGGTGGGATGGATCAAAAGCGACACCTTTTACAGCATTCAGTATCTCAAGACGGGCGAGGCTGACATCGGGATTACATACAACCCAGCTGCGGAAGAGATCGCCATCAAACAAGGCATTGCCATTAGTCCAAGCTACTACGCTTTCCGAGACCACTTTCTTCTGGTCGGACCCAAAGAGAATCCCGCAAATATCTCCAAAAGCGATGACATAATGACCACGTTCGCAAATCTCCACGAAGCAGCTGAAGGCCCTGCTACCGAGCCTCCAGTTCGGTTCCTGAGCCGCTATGACAAGTCGGCTACCAACATCAAAGAGACTCTGCTATGGGCCGGCATAGGACAAGTCCCTTGGGCGACTGCCTACTCAACATGGTATCACCAATACATTGCTTTCCCGATCCAAGCCCTCACAGCTGCGATTATCCTCCAAGAGTACACCATTACCGACCGTGGCACCATCTTGTCCCTTGACGCAGACCTCAGGAATCAGACTGTTGTTTACAAGGCGGGCACTGATAAGGCGGACGACCCATTGTTGAATCCCGCTCATGCGTTGATTGGTGAAAAGGCACCTAATGGTAAAGAGGCAGCCGTGTTTATCAAGTGGCTTGTTAGCGACAAGGGACAGAACGTAATTGCAGGGTTTAAGAAGGATGGGGAGGTGCTGTATTCCAAAGCACCGTGAGGAAAAGACTCGGACGGAAACGGCGTGCTTCAATGTCGCTTCTATTGTGAACGGGATTGATAGTAAAGGCACTTCTTAGTATATAATATTCTCGCTTGCTGCTATTGCCTACATGTCTGAAGTGATACTACAGCAGGTTTCCCACATCCTGCAGTTCTCCAGGCAAATGAGAATTTTGGGGATGACAAGGCAGCTCAATCTCATCGTCCATGACACCCCATTCCGCATAAGCCTGCGATGCAGTCCTCGATTTGGACGCCGTCATGTTTGAAGAGTGTCCTGAGCTTGACTGGTTCGAGTTGAACCCTTGACTCGTCGTGTTGATAGATGATCTCGATCGCATGATCAATTTTTTCAGGCCAGGGAGACAGACAACAATAACTGCAGTCGCCATTTCGGCCATGCAGAGGGCATCTTTGGCACAGTTAGTATAGTACCTATCAAAATCATTCAATCGTTTACCGACTTCCAGAGGGGTAATCGAGCTGATAATCCGCTGCATTGCTGATGATGAAGCGGGCAAGGCTAGCTGACATCGTAATTGCACCGAGGGAAAAGACGCCGACAAGGCCAAGTTTCTGCTCAGTGCGCAAGGTCAGATGTTTGAGAATGAAGAATGGGAAACAGAACACTGAGCCCTTGTTAGTCTACTATTGTCTTCTGGGAAAGTCTTGACCAGAAACATGAACGTACAGATCAGATCCGTTGAGAAGTTCAAACACCATTGAGTGAGAAAATTGGGCAGGGAGTTCCAGGCGGAGTTCAGTTGGTTCTCAACAGACCTGAAGTTGTTAACCAGAAACTTCAACACAATCAACTGGATTTTGTTAGACTTACCAATTGTCTGATATAGGTCTGGCTATCAGAGTGTTTAGTAGAATAGATGTTGTCATACAAGAAACCAGGTACGCCGTTATTGCATATAGGGCGAGTCTCAAAGATTGGAACACATCCGGTATAAGATACCAATAGAAGGCGAGGATAGAGAGTTTCGGCCAGTAGATTCCTGTGTCAAAGAAGTATTCGGCTACCCAGACTATCTAGAATCAAGAATTAGTGAGCTTACAACGTCGAGAGCTTTCAAGGTCACTAACCTTCTGATATTCGACACTGGGGATAAGACCATCTGGGCCATCTGGGGGATGAGTAACCAAAATGAGCATAGAGACTGTCGATGTTATGAACCATCCCAAAGCGAAGATCCAGCCCATACATGCAAAGTACTCAGAAAGAGAGAGCTTCTTTCTCTCATAGTAAAGCCTGGTCCAGCAGCGAATGATAACTGTAAAGAGTGATAATCCCAGCAACACTGCTTGGATGGCCTGTCGCGATGTCAGAATAACGTGGTCGGCTATCAAATAGATGGGGACATTGAACACACTATCCCGACTGATGTAAGCATTTTGCTTCTTCGCTGCAGCAGGTCGCGTTTAAGGGTCACTCATTCTCGTGCTTCTAGGCGATGGATCAAAGCAAAATGAGGGCATGAGAGCTGGCATGGAAATAATATCCCATCTACGCGTCAAAGCTTGTGTGGCGTACGTAACTGTGCCCAGAAGATTTGATGCCAAATGCAAACACATTCCAAGCGCAAGCGGAGGTCACTAGTGAGGTAAGGCGGCGTTCGATACCGAACATGACGTTGAAGCCTCGAAAGACTCTTCAAGAAACTAAACTTTGCGCGTGGTTATGGCTGGACCTGGCGAGGAAATAGTAATACAAAACAGAGTATCTCATGCTTAAGCACATCTGTAACTGCAAGATATTTCTGAGAAACTCGAGATAAATCGTTACAACGAGGTGCCATTGCTTTGGCATGGTCTAACTAGATGCAACTGGCAGAGACCAGCGTAGTCGGAATCACGGCTGATGATCAACACTAAATTACAGCGGCGTAGCGCCACCGTTCCTCGCTCTCGGTGTCCGTCGCCATTTTACCTACCCTGCAGATGGGGATGTAAAATGGTTGTTGATTCAACGTATCACCACCAAATAGGTGCCTTTTAATATGGATAGACAATTTGCATCCTGAACGTAATGCGTTCGGCTTAACAACGTCAATAAAGAGTGATGAAATGAACGGCCTAACGAGCGGTCTGGGGAGAGTGCCGACTGCGCGTAGCATGGTCTTACCCATTGCAGTCTCTACTTAGTCCGCTCTCTACCAACATGTTTCTTCCAAGCGAATGTCTCTCCACCAAGTCCCTCCTTGCCGCTTCGGGCTTTGTTTCGCCGATAGATAATGAACAACCACCTGAACCTCGACTTTCGACACAGAATACTGGCTCGACCATCGACCCCCTGATCGATGAACCTACACAGTGTACTGCAAAATGTAACCTGTGTTGCGGAGCTGGTAGAGTGAGTCTCCTGCCGTGATGTAGGTGGAGGAAGTGTTTCCATCCAGTAGCTTCCAACCAGTGATTGGCGTGCCGGTATATTGCCAGATGTTTCCGTTGTTATGAATCTGATAGAACCCTCCAGCCCCGACTGCAATCTGCTTTGTCCGAGAGTTATTATCTAGCTGCCTCCAGCCGGCTATTGGAACGCCAGTATATTGCCAAATACTTCCAGAGTTATCAAGCTCATAGAGATCAGCATTTCGCGCCACAATATCCATGGTGTCTGAGTCAGCTCTCAGCTTATCCCATCCAGTGAGGGGCACTCCATTGTACTTCCAGATAAGGCCGCCATTGTCGAGTCGGTAGAGATTTCCCCCCGAAGCGGCAATCTTCTTGGTATCCATATTGTTACCCAACTGTTGCCATCCAGTTATAGGAGTGCCTGTGTACTTATAGATGAAACCTGATTTATGGAGTTGGTACAGGTCGTTACCGCTGGCTACGATATCGAAAGCGGCAGCGTTGTTGTCTATCACCTGCCAACCCGTGACTGGAGTGCCGGTGTACTTGAAAATCTCCCCAGTATTGCGAAGTTGATAAAGATTACCCTTTGAGGCGGCAATCTTGGTGGTTGAAGACTTGTTGTCCAATAGTCGCCAACCAGTGATGGGGGTACCTGTGTAGGTCCAGATAAAACCAGATGTATGGAGCTCGTAGAGATTGGGGCCGTCAGCAACAATTTTGGCGGCCGCAGCATTGTTGTCCAGCAGCTTCCAACTCGGAGTGGCCGTGGACGTACTCGGACCTGGAGTTGTGGCAGCTTTGCTCATAGATGTACTCAAACTTGGAGTTATGCCTGGTGTCTCCATAGACGTGCTAAAAGATGAATTTGGAGAAGGTATGATCGAACGTATACTCGAAATTGTAGTTGTAGCATCTTCCGTCGTGGTATCGGGCTTTACTGTACCCCAGATTGTAATTTCGCCAACATAAGTACTGACAGATCCTTCTTGCGTAAAAGTAGACGTGACGGTTCGCAGGGACGTGGCAGTTCGAATGACCGTAGTGGTGACTCCATTGGTAACAAAAATAGTGCTAAGGCGAGTCCAAGGGATGGTATTGACCTTCGTAATAGGGATAGTATCAGTTTTAAATGTAGAAGAGACAGAAGTCTGTATTACAGTAACAGTATTGAAGTTTGTAATAAACACAGTAACCGGCTTGGTAATAGTACTGGTTGTATGCTGAGTTCTGGTTGCGGTTTGGGTTCCTGTCGCTATCAAAGTGGTCAACACTGTTGAAGTAACAGTCTGACGTGTAGTAGCAAGAGCAGTCTTCTTCTTATTCACCGTCACCACCTTAGTTGTCGTCATCGTAGTTTCGATAGTTGTAGGGATATCAAAAACGGTCAAGGTCTGACGAGCAGCAGGTTTGGTAATTAAGCAAGAACAGGCGCTGCTGACGACACTAGGCGTTTTGTTAGGCAGATAGCTTGGGACTGGTGTAGTCTTGACAGCACGCTCCTCGAATCCCCGCTTGACAGGCTGGGAGTTATCCTTAAAAAGAGTTAACGTTTTCTGGCTGTCTCTGTATCAAAAGGGTTTACTAACCTCGTCTGCAGAATCACAGGACATATCATAATTTATAGCTATCAGGTCTGAGTCGGAGTCAATTGCATCTAATCTAAAAACCTTTAGTTATAACTGTAACAACTAGAGGTAAGGATAAAACAAATGTGCTTACACTGGCTCGTTATAGCAGTAACAAGCATGAGAAGTAAAGCCGAAACTATAAACAGGAATGTTTTCCTGTTGGGCTAAGCAGAAGCTCTTGCAGGTAGAGAAGCTGACATCGGGAAATTGATTTAGTTGGAAAAGCATATATTCAGAGGATTTCACGTAGCCTGAGATTCTGCAGTAAACCGTGTCTGAAATGTCAATCAGCTATCAGATAAATCACTATGAGTGCAAGAACATACTTGGGGCCAAGGTCATGACTGGAGCGGACGCCCTTTTCATGGTCAATTAGGAGATCGGATAAACTCAATGCGGCATAAACTCACGTAGTGCTAGACAAGTAATTATTAGCTTCAAACAAGAATGTGTATTGGATGTACTTACGTGACCCAAACGATAGTTGTGCCAGTAACAACATTGGTAAGGGAATTGGTCACAAGCTTTGTCACTGTCGTGTTAATATTAATTGTTGTAGTTGTTGTAGCTGCAATAGTGACGGTCTTGCTGCTATGAGACGTAACTATTATGGGCGTTGTTTTTGTTACAGTACTAGTGACTTGCTTTGTTGCCTGGGCTGTAAGTGTCTTGACTTGAGTATCAGTAATAAAGGCAGTTTTGGTTAGTGTGATTAAAGTTGAGCCTTTTTTTGTTGAGGTGGTAAAGATGCTGATAGAAGTTGTAGTCAAAATTGTAGTGAAAACAGTCGCAGTAGCTGTTGATAATGCGGTCTGAGTGGAAGTGATTGTTGTAGTAGGAGTTATAGTGGTAGTTGTTGTTTTTCGAATGTACGTTGAGCAAAATGCAGATCCAGCAACTGCATTACTCTGAAAAGCTTTGTTGTCTGGATCTGAAGTTTTGCAAAATAGCCCTACAAAGAGAAAAGCCAATATCAGCTAAGTTATAATAGTCTAACTGTATGTAATACCTGCTCTTGGTTCTAGAGAGTCTCTTTTTTCAAGTGTACCAATAGCTGGAAAGGTATGTACTGATTTAATAAAGAGCAGTATTAAGACTCTCTTTAAGAAATACATTTTAAGGAATATAAATTATAAAATAAATGTTACATAAAATTTAACACAACACAGAGTAGAGTTTACTTCAAGAAAGGGCCTATATATATTTAGCTAGAATGCTAAGTGCAGTGCCTTATGGAATGTTAAAGTAATACTTACTGAAATTAGAGAGCCTAGAACTATTTCTGTTAAGTCTAATATTAACTCAAAGCGATAAAAAAGACCTTATGTCCTGAAATCAGCCTTAACTACTAAACCAGGCTAACGGAACTAAGAGTCTAGCACCTTTCACTCCCTATATCGTTGTCTTATTACTGGATAGTAAAGTTTCTTATTTATTGCTTGTGCAGTACTTAAAGAGACTAGCTGCAGAGCGATACAGGGGAGTACTGATCAATCTGTTAGTAAAATTCCCTAAGCAATTTCTACGCCGTTCTTTTCAAGCCCGTTCGGCGAGTCCGGCCGGTTTCACCGAAATGGAGAAAGACTATAGTTCTGGCAAAACCTTTAGATATGGCCTCATCTGCTGGCGCCACAAGGAGTACAGCGTTAATGCGTCTTGACCATGTTGTGCGTCTTGCCAGTTGGCGAGCCAGTATGACAAGGAACCAATTCCCTCCAATACCATCGTGAGCATTACCTTGTCTCCAGGTCCTACTGTTTGCCTGCACGCCTCAATTCATGATATGCAAATTTTGGATAAGAGATCATATTATCATAGAAGATTTGGTCGCTCAGTCTTAAGGATATGGGTCGACGCGGGCCCATTTGTGGCTGAAGGGCTTGCAAGGGAGGCATTTATTCTTTGCCTTACAGTCTTCCACATTCCAGCCACCTGGAATGCGGGCATTGATTCGAGACCCCTTTAGCATGCAGTTGAGAAGAACACCTCTCGGGCTTGATTTGGAATTAGGCCACCTGCTGGGATCAGGTTATACACTAAAACGGCTAAAAGGCTTACTATCTCAATCCGTGCTAATGAGATGATTGAAAAAGGCCCCAAGGAAATACCCAGACCTCTTAGCATACCGGGTCTTATCTTCAGACCCAAAATCTATCCACGTTGCCCCAAACCGATCGGAGAAACCAGCAGCCCACTCCCAATTATCCGTGAATGTCCATCCAAAGTAAGACTTGATCACAACGCCTTCCTGTGATGCCTTGGCGACTTCTGTGAGGTAGCTTTTGTAAAAGTCAACCCTGAAGGGGTCTTCCAAGACATCATCAGGGCCGTTTGGCTTCCAGTCGTGCTCACCCTGCGCCGTAGTACCATTCTCAGTGATGTAGATTGGTATGCCATAGCGGTTCCAGATCCAGCGGAGCAGCTTAGCCCAGCCCCAGGGAGTGGTCCGTAGCCAGTATGTGTCGCTCATAGGCCCTCTCCATTCACCTTTCTTATTTTCATCAAGCTTATCGACGTTGCCCAGATGATCATTAATATCGGCTGGTCCGTCACGATGACGTACATAGAAGGCCGAGTATGAGTTCATGCCGTAAAACTCTGAACTTCCCAGGACAAGCTTGCTTTCTTCAGGTGTGAACCTTGGGAGACGGTCACCCAGCTGTGCACGCATTGACTCTGGATAATCTCCCGTCTTATATAAAGGGTCGCCAAACCAAGCGATTTCGAATTCTCTTGCTCGTTCCGCTGCTTCTTGGTCTAACGGATCATCGACATCCCATGGCTCAGACCAATTGCCATGAAGGGTAATCATGATGGTGCCTTTTTGCTTTGGTTTGAACTCGCGCTTATACATATCGGCAGCGTACGCATGCGACACAAGTTCCGTATGACTAACAATGAAGGGTTCTGTGCTGCTGTCCCCTTCTTCATTGCGGTCACGGAAACTGGACCGACCAGGAGCATGAACTCCAGCGGCATAGCCAGCGAGGGAATAGACACCAGGCTCATTGTATGTGATCCAATTCTTGACGCGATCGCCGAAGCGCTCAAAACATACCCGGGCATAACGAACAAAGTCAGGTGTATATGCATCCTTGTTTAACATTCCCCCGTAGCGATCTTCCAAAGTCTGAGGGATGTCCCAGTGAAAGAGAGTGACGAATGGAGTAATGTTATTTGCAAGAAGCTCGTCGATCAAACGATTGTAGTATGATATACCCTCCTCATTGACAGGGTCATCCTTTCCGCCTAAAGGGATGATTCGTGACCATGAGAGTGAGAAGCGATAACCTGTGACTTTGTACTTGCGAAGCCACTCAATATCAGTCTTGTAAAGATCATAAGACTTGACAGCATCATCACCGGTACTGCCATCTTTGACTTTGCCTGGAGTATGGGCAAAGGTATCCCATATTGAAACGCCTTTACCGTCCTTATCCCACGCGCCTTCAACTTGGGCTGCTGCTGTGGCAAACCCCCAAATAAAGTCACGAGGTAAGGCACCTCTAATGGACTCGTCAAATTGTTGTGAACGCATGCCCAGTGATAGTGTTGCCGCTGATGAAGAAGAGGAAGAATCGAGATTGGTGAGCTACATTGAAGGTTACTCACAGGTAGCTAATAGTAACTCCATTCACACATTGAAGGGCTGGCACAAGCGAACATTGACCACTCATAATTAACAGGCATTTGCACTGGGAGGGGAAGCTGCATAATTGAGGCGAAGGGGCCATTTACCCACGAATGAAAATGATTGAGTCGCGCATGTTGAGAGTCTACGATGAGTCACTTGCTGGAGGAGCTTGATCCAAGTCACTGAACTCATGCAAGCTCGGGTTGTGGGAGCGATCTACAACAGAATCCGTTGCCGCGTGCTCTTCTTCCTGCTTCTATCGTCTGTCGCGTGCAAAAGCCAAGTGTTGTTTCTACCGGCCCGCCTACCCATTCTGCCATTTATCCACTGTGCAGATCACCCGCTAGCTCTGCATATTGAACTACAGCTGGAAAGGGAAGGAGAACATTTGGAATGCATGCTACTGCATGTGATCTGCATTGACGGGGATCATCGTCTTTTATAGTGGCGTATACGCGTATCATCTACCAGTTACTCGGAAAGTGGTGAGGCACTAACTGCTGACTATTGCGACATGTCAAGCCAGATATTGAAACTGGGCGAATTTTCTTGACTGACACATGCGGCCATCCGTCTCAAGCAGATTATGATCAAGCTATCGTGGGAATGTTACGGGCCCGCCTCTTTTCCTCCTTGATTGAAGCCCATTTAGCGTCTGCAATCTTGACACTCAGCTTGGTGGGGTTAGTATTCTTGGTTTCAAAAATGTGGTCAATCTCCTCGAGATTGAGCTTTCCAGTCTCTGGGAAGATGAAGTAAGCCACGATAAGCTGGATGAGGTTGTAGGCAATGTAGACGGCCCAAATTTTGTATCCGACCTTGGAGATACCCACTGAGATCCCGTAGTTATGGACAACGCCAGCAGCACCCTTCCAATGTCAGTCTTTGGAACAGAATTCTTGCAATGGACATACCTGGAACATCGTGTACAGTGCCATTCCCTTTGCTCTCAAAGGTAGCGACAACAGTTCAACCGGGTACAGGTTATGCATCGTCGCTATAAAAGACGCGCTGCAGACTTGGAAACAATAAATCCAGACGACAGTGAGATAAGACAAGTATCTGTCTCCTTGGACACTGACACGCCAGCTTGTAATTGTGACAGCGGTCTGTGCAATAATAATGCATATCAAGCCCACAAAGATCAGAGTTCGTCGTCGGAAATATTCGATAATATATGCACCAAAGAGAGTAAACACAAAATAAGTGGCAGTCAGACCCAACGTGATGCCCAAGACATCGAGCTTCTTGGTAATGCCGATTGTTTGTAGTGCTGGGTCCATGTAGAGACCAATGATGCCGCCGCCTAAGAAGAGTCAGACTCAGAAAAAAGTATAACAATGAGTTGGCGATGAAAGCTTACCATTCCACTGTTGGAAGATCGAATAGAGGAGGAGGACAAAGGTTCGGAAGCCGACAGCCTTGGTAAAGAAGACCCGGAAGTCCCATACAGCCCGGAATCCAACCGCAGAAGTCTCAATGGACTCATCGATCTGAGCTATCAAGGTCTCGACAAATGGGTGGTTGGGGTCTTCAGAGGAAGTAAAGTACTTGGAGATCATAGTGCGAGCCTTTTCTCTCTGGCCTTTCATGATCATGTATCGTGGTGACTCGGGGCAGAACCAGTAGATAGTGACGCACACAAAGAAAGGAAATATGGCCTGGATAAGAAACGCCACTCTCCAGCTCCAGTTACTTTCCCAGTGAGTAAACCCCATCATGATGCCGACAATGGCAAGAGAACCAACTTGGAAGAAGGCACCAAAGATTCCAACGATACTGGCCCACTTGTTATTCAACAGTTCGTAGGATGACACAAGAGAGGTACTCACTGTCCACGGATATGAGGAGGTGCAACCTCTGCGATGTACTGTGAGCTCGTACAAAGCGCGGTACCAAAACCGAGGACAAAGCGACCAAACATAAAGACCTTGACATTCGGAGCGAAGCATTGTATGAGAGAAGCAACAATGGTGAGAAAACACCCGAGGAAGTTGACACTGCGACGACCAATCTTATCCGCAACACTGAGAAACGGAGCGCCACAGAAATTGCCGATGGTCATGAGAGCGTTGATTACACCGAGTGTCGAGCCGCTGTTTTCGAAACCGAAGTAGTCATGCCAGTAGAGGTTGGAGTTGATGCTACTAATGACACCCCAGTCGATACCATATCTATACAAGCGTCAGCTCGACAGCATCAAGGATGTAATGAGTCAACGGCCTTACGCGGCTTGGTTAAATCCCATGGTCACCATGATGAGAAAGATGCGAAAGCCAGCTTTGGACTTGAGAGACAGAGCCTCCCGGGACTTGGTGATCAAGTGGTCTTCGGTGATTCGGGCAGTGACGATCTCTTCAACAGCAACACCTGACTTGTTTGCATCAGCTTGGACATCTTGGTAGATGTTGTGGCGCTCGAAAGAGGCTCTTCGTGCCTGGATAGGCATATCTATATCCTGTGGATCGTGGCGATCTCTTA